TGAAGTTTCGAAGAAACTTCACACTAAAAAGTACTCCGGTTTGATTCTTAATAACTTCTAAACAAGTAAAGCTATCAAACACAAATAACTTACATTAAATAGAAAAAGGACTAACTTAGATTTTGATATATTATAGTTGTATTTTACTTAAGAATTCAAGTAGATGTTCAAATCGGGAGCATATTTTGGGATGTGTTTAAAAATTAGCGAAAAACGGCATATCAAATATTAACTCCAGCGTTTGTTTGCTTAATGACATATCAGACTAACTTGTATTTCAGCGAATTATCGTTAGTGTTTATAAGGGATATGGCGTAGATTTAGACATCTTACATTTAAGCCTTGCTCATTGTTTCCTGAAATATGAACGTTCGAAATTATGCGGGTATTTAATAGGTCTTAATTAATTTACAAACTTACGAGTAGGTTTGTGTATACGAAACGCAAAGAGTGCTCAATATCATAAAGATAGAGCAAATGTAGAATTTCGCTTACCTCAAAATTCCGCAACAGTCTGTTTCATCAGTAAAGAATCATCAGGCGGTATGACAAGTTTCGAAAATAGGGCTGCTTATATGTGTTTTGGCCGGAACGTGGGGGTGTGTGGGTGAAACAAAGCATGCATTCATCTATTGTTTGCGTTGTTTACGCGGAAATACCTAATCGAATTGTGGGAGTGTATTGTTTGCGTTGTTTACGCGAAATTTCTTCCTATGTCTGCACGTAGATATAATTTCCATTCTTTTATTGAGTAAACGGTTTTGGTTTTCTTTCAAAATACAAAATTTTTCCTCTAAACATAAATTACATCGGTTTGATCCTCCCGTATACGAAATAGCGCGTTTCAAAATTTGCCAATTGATATTAAAATCTTTCTTGCTATCTTTCAATGTCCAAATATATTTCGAAAGTTCGGTTTTGTTTGAGTGCTCTTTATGCTCGAAAGTATAGTTATGGTTAGCCAAGCGCTCTTTAAATGTAGTTGATGTCATGCCAATATAATTCATGATCGTGTTAGGGTTGCATGTTGTGACTGTTGCTTTGTATACTATGTCCTTAGTCATGCATTGTTTCTGAAGTGGGCATATTGCGTTTTTCGAACAACTGCAATTGACAGTGCCCTTGCCCTGTGCCTTGTTCTTCCTAGCTATATGTGCATTGTGCTTAGTGATTATAGACTTAACATTGCTCATGCAGCTATAACTTACTTTTACTGTATTTCTGTTAAAGATCTTATGCAGCTTGTGATGGGAAGGAAAGTGCTTGTCGATAAGGTTAAGAAAATTACGCCCTATATTAGTGCTGACATTCATGCTAAATGGTGGGTTGAACCAAATGATATTACGTTGC